CCGTGAGACGAGTTTCCGGAACCCGGGCGCCGGCCGGTGCTCTCTTCCCTCCAGCCCTTGGCGTCCAAGCGAGCTTCTCCCGCAAGCCACCAGGAAGGAGGCTTCCCAGCGACCGCGGGGCCGAGGCCCGCGGCTTTTGGTTTCGTTTCCTAGATTTTAGGTGTCCACAAGGGCTTCCTGTCCCCCTCCCGCGCTGGCACTTCCGCGAAGCTGCTGGAGGGCCTGAGACCTGCAGGCGCGGACCCGCTGCCCCGCTCCCTCTTTGCCTCCGGAGAGACTCCAAAAACGTTGATTCTGGGGTTCAGGGCTACGAGGAAGTGAGACTTCGAAACCAGCTGGAACTGGGAACGTCACTAACACGGGAGTGGCCGCCTCCGGGGTGGACCCTGGGTGCCCGGCTCCGGAATTTTCCTTACTCTGGCCGTGACCTTCGTACCTTGGAATCCCGTTGCTTTCAAGCCAGGAAGCAGGGGGCGGTAACGAGTACAAATGAGGGCGAGTCAAGCTTTTTTTCCCTTAGAGTACCTTTTCTCCTTCGCGCTCTTGCTCGCTCGCTCTCTCTCACAGGTGATGTTAACACCTTTGAAGAGTCCAATCACCCAGATGTGTTTAGAATATTTATTCTTTCCGGCGCCCCTACAGGCAAACAGGCACAATTTAAAAAAAAAAAAAGGTTGAACTCAAATGAAGGATTCATTGTCGTTATTTTTCTATTCAAGTTTCTATTTATCAAAGTAACACATGATCTTTCAAGCAATAAAGCTGAATATGGAGAAAAGAAGTGATAAGTATTTTTACACACCCCTTCCTCCGCTGCTTTTCTCCTTGTACTGTTAACAGACACTTGAAATTTATCAAGGGAAGAGGCAGGTGGGAGGAGAGGGGAAGGGAGTTGGAAGTAAGGGGACTAGAGATCAAAACTGAGAAAAGATGGAAAGAGGAGGAAGGAGACCATTTAGGTTAGAAACCCTTCTCATGGCTGTGACTTGGTCCAAACTACAATCTCTGCCTCTTTTTACACTTGTAAAATGAGGGTATTACAATTATCTACCTCGTAGAATTTTTATGAGGATTAAGGAAATTTAAATACACCAAAAATTTAGGGTTATGCTTGCTACAGAGTAAGCACTCAATAATTATTATATATACAAACATGTATATATGTACATAGGGTTTGTTTTTTGTTTGTTTGTTTTTTACATAAATAGGATTCTTTTATGCAAGCTGTTCTCTGATATGCTTCTTTTACCTTACAGTGCATCTTGGAAATCTCCTTGCCTTTAATACAGAACTATGTCCTTGATCTAACTGGTGCAGGAAAAACGGGTGTAGGGTGTGAGGAGAGCTGAGTCCCAGGCTTTGGTTGAGCCCCTGCGATGTGCCCCGCCATGTGTGGGTCCTTGGCTTCGCACAGGAAGGAATTCAAGAGCGAGCCACAGTTCAGTAATGGTAGATTTATTTAGAGAGATACATCCAGGGAAAAGAAAGGCCCCGAGGTGTGGTGGTTGGGTGCTCAGATTTAGAGTAAAATTAGGTATACACTCCATAGACAGAGTGTGGGTGGTCTCGGAATGGAGAGAGAGAGAGGCAGCGGCTGCAAGTCACCGTGTTGCCAGTTTTTATGGGCTCAGTGGCTTCATACGCTAATAAGTGGAAGGACTAGTCTAACTAGTCTGGGGAAGGGGCTGGGATTCCTAGGAATTTGGCCATTTCCCACTCCTTGACCTTTTGTGGCTAGCCTTGGGACTGTCATGGCACCTGTGGGCATGTTATTCACCATGTTAATATATTACAATGGGCGTATAGTGGAGCTCAAGATCTACAAGAAGTTAAATCTCCCATCATCTTGAGCCTCAAGACCTACTGGGGGTTGAATCTTTCACCATTTTGGTGTTAATTGGTGTAACATTCCCTGAATGGCTGTGCCCTGCCCCCTTCCTGTCTCATAATCAAGCAGGTGTAGTTAGTTTCCAGTTTCACAATTACAGATTATTCTGTAGTCATAATCCTTGCACATGTCTTTCTGCACACAGTGTAGAAAACCTATCATTCTGTTCTGCCAATAAAGTGTGGGAATGCTTGTTTTACCACCTCACTCCACTTCTTAAGTATCAATTCTAAATGTTTGCTACTCTGATCGGCAATGATTGTTATTGCTTTTATTAATTCTGATTGTTAGTGATAATGAGCAATTTTTCATATGATTACTGAATATCTTACCGTTTTGTTCTGTGATATATCTGATGTTTAATACAGAGTTTTCTTTTGGATTGTGATATCTTTCTCCCCGCTGATTTGTTGTAGTCTACTGTGGATTGAATCCCACATCTGTTAAATAAGGTAGAATTCTTTTGCCTAGTGAGTCTTTGTCTTGTCACTTATTGAAAGTTGCTTTCACAATACACAGTTTTGTTTTGTTTTGTTTTTCAGATTTTAATGTTTTATTTTCACTTCTGACTGCTGGGCTTTGCATCTTATTTTAGAAGGCCTACTGTACCCCAGGATATCCAATATAATTTCTTTCTTGACACCTGTTTATTCATAATCGCCAAGAAGTTGCTATTTTTCTAGTTACTATTCTATTATTTATAATTGTATTGTGGTCCAAGAAGGTATTATGAATGGTTTCAGTCATCTGAAATTTTTTGAGACTTGCATTATGGTCCTTCAGTACACAGCCAATTTTTGTACATATAATTACTTAAAAAATAAGTGTACTCTTCATTTGTCAGGTATGGTACTGTATTTTTTATATTAGGTCAGTTTATAAATCATGCCGTTCCTTTAGCTCATATTTTGTTTGCTTGTTCAATCAATTATTCAGACGAACATTAAAATCACCCAGTATAGTTATAGATTTAATCTATTTCTTTTTATCTTGACTTTTTCCCATATATTTTGTGGTAAGGTGTTTAGCCAAAACTGAAAGTGGTTATATTATCCTGATGAGATGAATCTTTGTCATAGCGAAGCATTCCTCTTTATTTCTAGTAATGTTTTTTCTTTAAAGTCTTTTTTGTCCGAAACCAATGCTGTTCTTATAAATAAAGATTTTTCCATACACCTGTTTTTCTCATTTTTGACACCAAGGTCAAGTGGACCAAGTTTCCTCTATGCTCTTCCTCCCACGTGGCAGGGTTTACTTCTGTTTCATGCTGCAAGATGGTAACTAGTGAGCCCAAATTTTAGTGAGAGTCTTCTATTAGCTTTTCCTCCTTGATGGACCTGAAATTTATCATATGTTTTTAATACTTATGAAGTAAAGTTTTCCAGTGTTTGCAGAAGCTTCTGCTTGTGGTTTAGCTTTCTGACTGCTGATTATCTGCTGCAAGAGGGGTAGGACAACTGTAGTGATCCACTACCTTCTATTTTCAATGTTATTTTTCAAACTCCTCCTTGA